GTCTCCCCCCCTTCCGGCCCCCCCCCCCAACCCCCCCCCCCGGCCCCCACTCACCTCCCACTCCTATACTTCATTTGCACCAGATAACACATCAGCTGCAACCGCCATCCACGAGCCTCGTCACCATGGTGCCTACAGATGGTAACTTCCTGTGGTCCTGCCCGGTGATTGGTGGAGAGACTTCCAAACAGAGAACAGCTGGTGAGGGATGATATATCACTGAGCGTTTGCACTTTCATTTTCAGGGTTGTCTTGTTAATGCACGAAAACCCAGCATCTGGCAGGAAATAGACACAAAGGCAGAGAGAGGAGGGAGGCAGGGAGGAGGGGGGGGGGGGGAACAACCTGTTCTTTGGCACATCTCAACAAAAGGATGACACATGTCTGATGAAGAGACAGAGCTGCAGCAATATGAAGGAAAGACGCCTGATGCATGTAAAACAAAGACTCGATGAGAGATTGTCATCACAAAAGGCTGCTCCATAAAGAAGAATTCTGCTCTTGTTCGTCCAAAGCCTTAAAATCTATTAAAATATTAAATAACTGTTAAAGTATTAAGTATAAAACTGAATCTAAAACTGAAAACTGTTGAAAATAAATTCTGTTAGCGAAAATTTCCCTGGTATTTTATTGTTAATTATCAAACTTTCTAATAATAGGTCCTCTCACAGGCCAAAGTCGACCGCAGCCCCCTTGTGGTCTGTAGAAGCACTGCAAGTTCTTTATAAATCATAAAAATTAACCGAATAAAAAGGTTTGCAATGATGTATTTTTAAATAAACTTCAAACAAGTGTAAAAGAGTTGTATTCAATAAAAGTAACAATAAAATAAGTAAGAAATATTTGTACTATTTTTGTGTACATTTCATGTACACACAATGTTGAACAGTTATCCATGTGGTTGAAAAAAAAAAGAACCAAAAAGGGTAATTTTATTGTAAACGATAGCTATAATTTAGCCATAAGGTTAGCAAAAAGATATAGTTAACGAAGATAACAGCTAAAACAGCTAGTTAGTCAGTGGCTAGAAAAATATAATAAATTAATTTTAAATATACTTTAGAAGTGTTTAAAAGTGACCTGGAAACATACGTTTTATAACCATTAGATGAAACACGTGGAGGTTTTTAAACACAAATTCTTTTTAATATAACCACCAACGACGGTTCGGAGTAAAATACACACTCTAAACAGCAGAGGTCGCCATTTCACAGCCTGAAAGCCCGTCAGACGTCAGTTCGAACTGACTTAAGAAAATGTACAAATATATGGAGGAAAAGAAAAGAAAAATCACCAATACCCCTTTAAATACCAGGTGTCACAGTGTTAGTGGAACCGTTGACATACTGTTACAGAACTGATGCAAAAATGTCATTTTACAATGTTTATTTCTGTCCTCACTAACTTGGCAAATCAATGTCTTCCGTCTTCAAAACTCCACAATATGTGAATGCTGTTAGATGAGCGACCAATCACAACGGGCGATTTTTTGCTCCTTGAAAATAAAATAACTGCAGTTCGGCAACGACGACGCGCGAATGGAGGACACTTTACATCAAAACACTTTAAAAAATGTGAGCAACAGAGTGACTGCTGTCACTGAACAACGGTTTGAGGATACAATATCGTAATATTCAACATTTAGTAAGAGGAAAAAATCATGCAGCTTCTTCTTTTCTGCTCAGGTTATAAATATAAATTTGCTGCTCATCACTTGACCTTAGGATAAAACTGTAAATTCATCTCAAGCTTTGGTAAAATAAACTTTTATTATTTATTTATTTCATTTTTTTTCTGTCCCATTCAAGGTCCAGGTAATAGAAGCAAGCTTGTAAATTAGTTTTAGTCTTATTCCAAAATCTGTGCTGAACTTGTTTTTTTTCTTGACATTTTTTTTGTTCTTAAAACAAAACAAACAAAAAAAAAAAACAGTTTTAGTTGATTTTATGCTGTTGTTGTTGTGATAAGTGTCGTTTGGCCCTTTTCTGTATGTTGCATAATACAGTATGTACAGCAGGCAAAAATGTGGGGAAAAAATACTGAAAGTTTGTGACTTGTGCCTTTAGGGAGGATTGGTGGAGGTGGGTGTAAAAGTCATCTTTTTTTATGATGATTATGCCACGACCCCTGAAAATATAATCTTCAAAAAAACACCAAATCAGGTAAAGTGTCACTCGCTAACCTGTCCTTTGTTTGTGTTGAGCTGACGCTGATTTCAGCAGTGAAACACACAGATCACCCAATCATTCTGAATTAAAACGATACAAAAAAAAGTTCTTACACAGAGAAGCGTTGAATTTCTTTTTTCCTGCGCTGTTTTCTTGACTCTTCCTAAAAGTCTGTTTGGCACGATTGTCAAGAAAATGACACAAACTTACAACTCACTTATGTAAAAAACAAACAAACAAAAACAGATTGGCTTTGAGTTTAAATGTTCATTTCCATGTGAGGTCAGAGAGAACTGGCTACAAATCAAATGAAAGGCTGCTAATAATACAAGCTGTGTTTTTACAGATTTGGAGGGAGGTGATGGTGATTAGCTACAATTTAGCTTAGCTGTTTAGCTACTGTTGTTAGCTATATTGACCATCCTCAGTTTGTAACTGTAGCCTCGTTTCTGATGTCATGCTACATGAAAACTGATAAAACACTAGGAATAAAGAATCAATTATGTTCAAACAATGATGGTACACCTTCAAAAATGATTAAATACTTTAAAAAACAATTTTGTGACAAAAAAAGTTTTAACCCAGAGAATTTATTATATCTGCACAATCATCACTGTATGTCCCTTGTGTGTCCCCCAGTATTTGTCCGTCACCATTACATGACTCTTTCTGCCCAAATTTTGTGCTAAATTTCTTTGAGGTTTAAAAGTGACCAATAATTCTTACTCCTTTTCAAACTATTACTGGTTAAAAAACCTGCCAGAATGTAGCTTTTTTTTGGGGGTTTATTTTCTCCTTCCATTCCAAATTTTTTGGTATTTTTTGTATGCAATGTGTCTAAATTTACTTAAAAAGTGTCCCAACTTTTCTGGAAGATGTAAAAAAAAAAAGCAGTACTAGAGTACTAAGAGGTGTACGAGAACAGTCTAGTTCATCTTTTTACCCTTGTTTTCCACTCAATAGGAAGTAGCATTTTGAAAAATTTGGTCAACAATTTAGATTTTTCCAGGAAAAAAAAAACATTAATACATTTAGGAACCTGAAAAAAATCCAACAACGTGGTTAATGATAAATGACGTGCACACATACCGCGACTCCTGCAGATGTCACTGTATAGTCCCACCGAGTGTAACCAATCAAAGCCTTGGACATGATGTACAAACCTGCATAGATAAAGTGATACAGAACAGAGCAGTTTTTCAGAAACGTTTGTCCAAATACGACGGAACATTCTGGTGTTTTTCACTGTAGGCTTTTCAGACGTCCCTGCCAAGAATAGCTGCTTGTTTCTGAAGAATTATCACACGGCAAAAGAACGCTAACATACGCAAAGTGGACCGCTGTGTTTCGTTGAGTCTGAAATCTGATCCCAGGTCAGTGTCTAAAGCTCTGAGAGGCTGAGGAAACAGCAGTTTGTCAGGAAATCTGAGAATGTATTTTTACAGTATGGCTATAAACAGCATGACGCATGGATGACATCATAGAATCATCTCAGTTTAAAGGGCTTTAATGACTATCTCATATTAAAAAAAAAATCTTTAAACATGCATCCCCTGGAAATTTGTGGACCTCATTTTTGTAAAACAGAGGGAAAAAATGCCTGATTTTGGCTTCTATTAATTTAAGGCTTTTTTTTCTTTTTTTGGCTGATCTACTGTGGAGTGACATCTTATTTTGGTAAAGTATTTGAATGGTCCCACAAAAGTCCTCTGATCTGACCTGTTCTCTTCACCTTAAAGGGGAGCACCACTCTCCTCTCCCTACTGAAGATGTCTGGATTTTTTTTCTTCTTTTAATCTGGAATTTGTCCAACAGATCAACGTTTACAAAAACGGACCAAAAACTAGAATAAAAGCTGTTAAAGGGTCAAAAACAGTTGTCAATTGTTACTAAAAAACAAAACAGAAAAATTTTAGTGCATCTTTTTGGCATCGAGTGGTCTTCCCCTTTAATTCTCGTATCAAACCAGCGGTAAACACCTAAAAAGTACGACACGGAGACGCCACTGGGAGCACGATTCTAGGAAAAGCGACAGGTTATAAAACATTGACATCATCAAGAGAACGTGGTGAAAACACCGAGTCGAGTCCAAAACGCCTCAGTCCTGAATGTGACTGAAGGAAAAAAAAAAAAAGTTCTGTGTGCAAATCCAGACAATGCCACACCAGAGTGGGGGCGCTCTTAATGCTACAGACTGAACCTGTAGAGCTACATCAGGTGGTGGTGGTGGAGGAAACAAAGAGTTTTGTTATTATGCAACAAAAAAATGAAGAGAAAAAGATTTTTGTTTTTCTTCCCAGCAGAGGCTTCTGCAGGACGATGTCCACACAAGACAAAAATAAATTCTTCTCTCAGTCTTTCTCCACAGGCGTAGACCACCACCGTCGTCCACAGAGGTCTTTGTAGGTCCTCAGTCAAGTCTGACGTTCTCTGACCTTAAGCTCTGCACCTGCATCGTGGCAAAAGTAAAGTGTCGCAGTTCTACCATGCCTTTTTACTCATGCAGAGCGACGGTTGTGGAGGTGACCCCCAGTGGCTGGTGCAGGCTCTGCCAAAATATGAAGCATTTAAAGCTGGTGGGGGAGGGGGAGAACACACAAGAGTCTGAAAAGGAAACAAACGTCGGCTCGCTGCCCATCGCTGCCCACTCTGGCTCTGATGATGGGTTTAAGTTGGCAACGGGTCGTCGTCGCCTTTGCTGCACTTGCACTTGCAGCAGAGGACGATTGGAGTGGCCAGCAGGAGGAAGGGGGAGGCGACCAGGAGGAGTAGGCCGAAACCAGCGAAGATTCCAACGACCTGTGTTGGAAAAATAAAGAATATATATATTACAGAAAACTGGGCTTCTTCAGGACATGCTTTCAGTGTTTTAATAGTAATTGCAAAAACAAAACAAACAAAAAAAAAATCCCGACGTAGCAAAATCAATGATTCACAGAATTTCGTGAGAATGACAACGTCAGCAATAACACATTTGATCCATTATTCGCAGGTCCATCCATCCAACCATCCATTTTCATCCGCTTATCCGTTACCGGGTCGCGGGGGCAGCAGTCGCCACCCAAATCACATTGCACCGTACCAAACCTTCCTGCGGGTGGTGAGTCCACTGGAAGGTACCAACCGCCCTAACCGGGATTCGAACTTGCCCAGGAGGTGAACCCTGGGGTTCCACACCAATGACAGAGACATTGCCTCTGGGCCAAAGCGCCACTTATTCGCAGGTCTGGTTATCAAAACTGTCATAGCGCATCTTGTCCAGCAGAGGGCAGAGAGGTACAAATCTTTCAGCAGTGTAAATGTTCAGCAAAACGAGTTCGCCTGATTATTTTGATTATGTTTACTTAAAATTAACACAAATGTTACATGATTAGTTAATACGTTTCATGAGATTTAAATTTATACAAAAACAAAGATAAACCCGTTTAGTATCGTTACTAATATTTTAAAAACTCAAACACAAAACACTTGTTTATACAAAAACTTGTTTATAGGACCGAAACGCAGCGATGTATTTACTCACTACTGCTTTGCCATTAGATGAAAAGAAAAAGAATAAATAATTCTACTTTTAGAAATACAAGGAACATGGGAAGTGCTGGGTGTTTGTAGTTGAGACTTTCATTTAACTTTATTTATTAGATTAATTTAATAACTTTTCATTATTATTTATGAACATTATTAACTTTATCATAGCTGCGGTGTCAGAGTTATTGTAGTAATAAATATATATATATTTTTTAGATGTAATCAATCTGCTGGAGGGTTGAAACCTGTAAGAGTGCAATGCAATCAAATGGCCACTAGAGAGAGCCATATACCAACAATGAAATCGGGATACAACGTACAGTTCTATGGAAATATGACTTCTAACAGCGTCTTTCACTTTTCCTTTTACGGGACAAAGATGCGTTTATTTGTATTTTTTTACTGTTTGTTTTGCTCATAATATGACGTAACATGTAAATTCGTGTAAAATAAACTTTTATGTCAAACTTATATTGACAATATGTTTTTGCTACACAGTAAAAATTGCATAACTCAGACTTGACATTTTTAATTCAAATCCTCTACAAATCTGCTGATGACTGATTATTTGTTCTGGGTCAGTGTAACAGTTATTTTCGTTCGCTCCAGGTACAGGCCTGAACACATCTGATCTGATCTGATCTGATCTGACAAACAGTTGAAGGTGGTTCCATCAAACACGGTGTCACATTCCTGAGCGTGCATGAACACAGTCTGTCCTCCAGAGACAATTGAAATGACCTGATCAGAAATGACCTACTAATTGATACGAGTACGAGTATTTTCATTTGTACACTTGCTTATACGAGTACTATCACAGATACTCCTTTAGGTTGGGTGCTAAAGGTCGCCACCGACAGCTGCCCTCACATTAGACGATATATCAGTAAAGCTAAGGGAAGAAAACTCTACATAAAGACAGAAAGTGAGCAGAGCTTTTAGACCTGTGCAGCCATGTCAATGGCCTTTCTGTTAAGTTATAAAACAAACCCTACAGAAAACAAAATATCCAAATCACTGACATTGTTGACTTAACTTAAATAAACTCATAAACTAAACTAAACTAAAGGTCAATGTGTGTTTTCCGACTGATACACAGCTTGTCACGTAGTATTGGGTCGCTGGATCAGCATGTTTTCAAGAACTGGAATTCTGTACTGAATCAAGTACAGGCTGTGTGTGGGTATCGATACCTAGTAAAATCCTATGACCTCCTCAGCATAACTCTCTTAACAGGCTGTGTATGAACCCTGAAATAAAGTAACTGGCCCTTTTTCTGATGTATTCTTATGCCTGCTGTTTAAAGCTGATATAACACGTATAAAAAGGCCTCACAGTATCCATCCACCCATCCATCCATCATTGTCCTCTTATCTGGGTCTCAGTATTCTTTATGTAAATACTGACTCACCTGGGTGACAATAAAAAAAACAAAAACAACATTTTGGTAAAAACTACGGGACATTTTTGTGTGACAAACATCAACCATCTTTCCCCTTATTGTGCTCTGAGGATAAGAGTGGCCTGCTGCTGAGTGTGACTGTGGCCTAGAGTGAGACAGAAACATGTGGGCAGCCACATGAAACGGTGTGGACACGGGTGGGGGTGGAGCCTGAGTGATTGTTGGAGGAGCGGGGTGGGTTCACCTCACCTGTGTTCTGTGCCAGATAACGGACGCCCTGGAGTGGCCCAGTTTGTTCCGACAGGGCCCTTTGTCGTAGTGGATCAGGAGGAAGTCGTCCTGCCAGACGAACAAACACAGACGACAGATAAAGACTGACAATAAGCAAGCTGGAAAACAGCGGCTGATACGGAGAGGAAATTGCTTTTTAAATGGCCTGCGGTCCTGGTTATTAGCATTCGCTCAATTAAAATTATATGAGGCACCCAGGCTCATAAAAACCTCCCTAGGATCCAGCTTTCTCATGAATCATAAACTCACAAGTTCAGAAAATAAAGTAGAAAATGTCATCTTTATAAAAGTGAAAAATAAAAATACATCTTTTCCAGGACTTTAAGTTGCATTTTGTGTCATGGTTTGGTCGATGCCTTTCATTCTGATCAACCTATTCCAACTCTTTTCTTGACCTTTTTTAGAGGACCTTTACAGTAGTTCAGCTGCTACAGCACCTCGATCCTCTAAATGTCCTGAACAGAGTTCTCTTCTACAGTGGAGCCTAACCTTTCGTACATTTACCCAGGTTTCTTCTCTGTTTATGTTTTCAACAGAGGACAGGAAACAGAGGCTGTGGCCACGGGAAACGGAGAAACACTCACTGACCAGTTCATGTCCTGAAACCAACACTGAAAATATTCTTCAACTGAAATAATGACAGCTTTTTCGGAACAAAACCTGGAAAGTTCTGCGTCAAAGTCAAATTTTCATTATTTCTTCCATGACTCGGAAATTGGTCATTTTTTCCCCAGGTTTTACAAATATATATATAATTCCCCTATATCACTTATGGCCACAGGAGGGCACCTTCTACACTTCTGACAACTGAACGCTGTTACTGCGCCACAAAAAACCCCTAAACCGACTGAACTGTAAAGACCTTCTGCAAGACATTAAAACAATAAAAGAAAAATGTCTCAACTTCTACTAAGACTTCCATAAACAACAGAAATAAAATGAGACAAAAGGAAAACGTTAGGATGAAGAACATAAGATGTTAAGGATGTGGAATAAGATCTGGAAGAAGAAGAAAAACAACAAGAAAGAGAAGAGGAGGAAAGAAAGAAAGAATTAGAAAAGATGAGGAAAAAGGAAAAGGAAGAAGAAGAGAAGGAAAAAGAAGTGGAAGAAGAACAAGAGGACGAAGAAGGAGAAGAAGAGGAGGACGACAAGCTGTAGTGTAAATGAATGCTCATATTTACGTCATTTTTGACAGATGCGACTTATACTCAGGAGTGATGTCAAGTACAGAAAACCATGGCAGTAAAAAAACAAAGGAACTTACATCCAGTGACTCCAGACAGTACCAGCAGAAGGCATGTTTGCAGTTCTTGCACATCATCTGTGCACAGCCCTCGTCCCTCTCAATGTAAACTTTACATTTAGGACAGCGCTTGATCGGCGCATCGTCCTCTTCGTTCTTGTAAAAAGGACTGGAGAAACAAAACAAAAAAAAAAAATTGGATTCATCACATGGATGTTTTCATTCACATAGAAATATTTTATACTTGATACAAGGTTCCAAAAAAATTGGATTCATCCATTAGTCTGAAGATGTTTTCATTCACATGGAAATATTTTATACTTGATACAAGGTTCCCAAAAAACTCTTTTCATTCCTTCTATTTTTAACTGTCAGGATCAGTTTTCACATTTTTTTCAGTTCTGTCTTTAAATCTCAATGTTATCAGAAAACCGCTACATCAGATAAACGTTTGGCAACATTGTTGAATGAAGAAAATAGGAATAATTCTTGAAAAAAAACTAATTAAAATTTAGTTACATGTATTAAACCTTAACCAATTGGCTGGATTCATGAACAGGTTGAATAAAAATAAATAAATCAGATAAGAGTCAAAGATCAGTAAGTGTTACTGCAAAGATCTAACAACACTCCTGCTAATCCCCTCTTCCTTCACTGTTTCCTCTGAGTCAGGTCCTGAAGGAGTCCAGAGAGACTGAAGCTCAGTACAGCTAATGACATTTCCAGACTAAGAGGATATCACAAGGAAACAGGTCAGCTGCATGATGGGACTCTGAGCAGCCCATCCCTCCCCGACCCAGATGGATCTTGTACTCTGTGCTTAAAATGCAAACTAAGCCCATCCTGGACTGCTTCACCTGCCTGATGGTTTTATGTCTGACTATTAATTTGAGCATAAGCCCTGGCTGATGTTCAGCTGAGCGGTGGCAGCAGCACGGCCAGGCCAGCAGTCAGTCGATATTTAAGGCTTTACTGAATGGTTCTTAAGGTGAGTTGAGCATTGACTCACAATTGAGCATTTAACCACAGCATAAAACTTTGTGACCCTCCACTGTCAGGTCACGCGCCCCAGTGCTTTGTAAGACTTCAGAAAAGTCAGCGCCTGTTCAGAAGTGTTACTGTATTTCTACTACAATACAATAAGTACTACACACACACACACACACACACACACGCACACACACACACACACATATACGTATATATATATATATATATATACACACACATACATATACATATATACACATACATATAAATTAATATACGTTTATATACATATGTGTATTTAGGTATGAATTTATATGCATCTATAATTATATGTGTGTCTATATGTATGTTTATATTTGTAAATGTAAATAAATGAACATATATGTATGTGTCCTATTATTTATGATTTATTCTTTTTCTTTTTTTAGTTAAAGAATTTTACAGTAGTAAGTATGAAAGAGAACGTACTAATGTGAGGTTCTAAGAGTCGGAGACACACACACATATTTAACACAAGCCCAAAGGCTGATGACCATGGAGACATAAAAGTGTACCTGTTCTCCCCTGGTAGAAAGGAGGTGATGGACAGGTTGTTTTCCTGACAGGCCTGTCCTGGGTGCCAGTTGGCCTTGCAGACTGAGCAGAACTCCAGGGCACAGACGGCACACTGGACCAACTGGGGCAGCGCTGGAGAGTCAGACTCCTTCAGTTGGCACACTGCCTGGCAGGTGGAGGAGGGGCACCACGTCCGGCAAGGGTCCAGCAGCACTTCTGAAGGCACAGAGGAACAGACACTTTAACACAAGGAAAGGAAGAGATGTTTAACAATGTTCTTTAAAGTGTAGCGTCATAATGTCATTTTGTATCTGCCAAATATCAATGACATTTTTCTTTTGCTTTCTGAGAACATTATTTTGTTTTTAAATCACTTAAGTAATCCATGAAATGTGCAGCATATTTTTAACAAACTGGTTCCACACTGTGTCGTAAGGAGGACAATAAAGGTCTAAGATCATCTGTTACAGCTCTACCACGTTTATATGTTTGAAACTGAAGATGTTTGAAACTTCCAAAAATTCAATTATTCATTGACACAACCTGACACCCTGTAAGGTTTGGTCTAAACCTCACGTGTCATTGACCTTTGGGCAGCTTTTTGTAAATACTGACAGCTAATAATGTTTTCAAAGGTGAGACCAGTTCTTGTGTTTGTGTGCCAGTTCTATTTTAACCCCATAACATAATGCAGCTGCCCCCCCTCCTCCCCCTCCCATCCACCACTGGCCACCCTGCCAAGATCTCTGTACACACATTCCACACACACTCCTCAGCACAGCCTGAAAAACATGGCAGAGAACAGTTAGAGAAACGGTTCTGCCTGAACGGACAGGGACACTGATGAGACAGCTGACTGCTCTTATTAGAGCACCGTCAACGGCTCGCGCTGAGAATCTTTACTCATTTACAGAATCCAAGCCTTCTCTCTGCACTGTGCGACGTTTCCTGATAAACGCATATTTAATCCTGCAAGTGCATTGGCCGTGTGCTGTGTACAGTTGGTCTCTGTGTAGGTGGACTACCTGCAGGATAATAGCACAGCTTGGTTACTGCTTGCGCTCTGTAGCAACAGCAGTGTTAATAAAGCTCATTAGCCTGCCTGGATTGACAGCAAGGAGCAAAAAAGACACACGAGCTGTTATTGTTTTTCTGCCTGTCATAGTTACGAGACAACAGAAGGTTAGCGTGGATTCTACCGAGTGTGAAGTGCAAAGACTAAATGGTAGGGATGTAAGGATACATCATGGATGGGTAAAAAAAAAAAATCGATCCAAATTCGTGACAATTCGCATTGGATGAAGTAAAAATTGAATATCATATCAAAAGTTCACTGGTCGTACCATGACAGTACACACTATAGTACAATAGGTGGCAGTATACCTAGAAACGTTGGGTGTGACCCACTATTAAACTAAGACGTGAGATCCCTATGTAGCCTATGTGACATTCAGGGGTTCAAACAAAAAGTGGGAAAAACTTCTTCCAGAGACACAAACAGTGTTTCTGTAAAGAAAGGAACTCTTTTCAGTTCATATTTTTTAAAATTCCTTTGTTTAATATATTGACAGTTAACGAGGTAAATAAGACCAGAACAGTTTGACTTTTAATCAGAGGAGATAAATGTGCAGTGTTTCTGTAAAGAAATGTGCTTTTTTTGCAAGGATCACTGTATTTAATGAGTCTGGAGGTCGTTTTGTTTAGAAAAAAAAATCCTGCTAAAATCATGAATCAAACATTTCAACACAGCTTTCAACTCTGTTTTTGTTATTTTGTTTAGTACACCAATATAAAATATTAAATAAATCCTAAAAGTATCAAAACAAGAGGCCTCTGAAGGACCAAATCTGTAGCACAAATCAATGACCTGCTCCAAACCTTTGAGCCGAAGTAAAAAGTTTTTCAGTCAGATTTATCAGTGTGCAAGACCTAAGCACATCAAGACCAAAAACAAAACAAAAAACAAAAAAAAACTTGGATTCACAAAAAAGGGAATCGTTGATGCTTACTAAGCAGACGAACGATAGACAAAGATATCAAAGTGTTAAAAAAAAGTAGTTCATGAAGTTTAAAAAAATCCATGGGGTAAAAACTGGCAGAACAAGAAAGCAAAAAGTTAAAAATAAAAATATAAATGTGTCTGAAGACCTTAGACTTTCTGTCAAGTCAGCAGTGGAGAATGAAGCAAAGTCTGGAATTGAAGTAAGTAAAAAGTGTTGCGCTGGCTTGGACTGCAAAGTTTTACATCGGAAAAAAAAAACTTTGCTTCTGCTGAAGAGACAACTTTCAGAGATTCCTCGAAGAAGGAGAAATTTTGCTGGAGGAAAATCATGTGGAGGGATGGAGAAGAGGTCTGTAGAGGTGTGGCCTTTATTTGGCTTCAGAATAAAGAAGCATTTAACCCAAAGAACACCGTCCCCAAGGTGAAACAATGAGTGGGGAGTGTAAGTATGCTTGTGTGTATCCAGAACACAAGACATATAAGTAACAGAGTTGGGGAAAAACCTCCACTAAAAAACATTTTCAGGTCTGGGTTTTGATTTTGCTTCAAAACTGTAGTACTGTAGTTCTACAAATGTGGTATATTGAAATATTTTTGATATTAATTTGGTATATGTGGTGTGAAAGTTAGTTAGTAACTTGTTGTTACACAGATTAGTTAAGTACACAACTTATTCCCCTTATTTCTCCTACATGTATTAGCAGAGTACTTAAAAACTTAAATATTTTATGTTGCTTATATTACAAATTATTAAATGGCTAAATGGGGCATCCCATGGCCTAATGGTCAGAGGGTTCGAATCCAACCTTTGCCAGCTGTGGTGTCTTGAGCAGGAACCAATTTCCCTGCTCCCCAGGCAGTTTCTGTGAACAATCACTGCTTGATGAGGTAAATGCTTTTGTTGTGTTTTGTCTGTAAACATATTATGAGTAAAAAAGAAAAACAAAACTGATATAATTCTGCTTCTACAATGAATACTGATGTTCGTGCCTGGAAGTACTCAGCAGCAGCAGCAGCAGCAGCAGCAGCAGCAGCAGCAGCGGGAGAGTAAACAGTTAAATTCTCTGCACATGTCAGTGCTGACGACTGGGCAAACAAACAGCTCAAATCTCCTCCATTAGCCACAGATACCCCACGGTGCATTTCAATGGCAGAAAAGCCTGCATGGACACAATGATTGATTCCAAACAGAGCCGTTCAGAGACACGTGTCTGAGGATGACTGTCATCATTCTTTTGTGTGTCACGCTAAAGTACAGGCCTTCTGGAGAATCCACGTGCCCTTGAGACTGACAGTCATTGACCCCTCCCACCCCCTTCCCTCCCTGGACCCCCCTAAGCACACAGGACCAATCACTGATGCTACCGTGTCTGCTCTTGCTCACCACGTTCAAACTGAAGCTTCTTGTATCTCTGCATCATCTCCGTGGCCACCATGCACTCGATCTGCAGGCAGAGGAGAGGAGAAGGGAGGAAGAGAGGGAGGGAGGAAGATAAGCGGGTCATTGAGCGTATTTATAGAGAGAAGCAGTGAAGGCAATTATACAAGCTTTATGTAGGAATGACTTGCCATATGTCAAATTAAAACTTTTTACATAACTTCAAGTTATCCTCCAGCTTTACTTATTTATTCTCTATTCAGACATAAAAAAGTGGAAATTAATTGTCCTACAATTTCAACACACTAGAAAAACTGGTATGAATGGGATATAAAGATTCTTCTGGAATCATAAACATTGAGTACAAGTCATGTCCCAAGACTTCGTTTGAGTGACTTGAGTATGACTCAAGTCCAAGTCTAACTCCATGTCAAGGATCAAGTCTTTTGCAAGTCTCGAGTCTTTGTTTGTCTGACTTAAGTAGGACCAGTTTCTTAGTCTAGGTCCAAGTCTTAAGCCTTTTAAGAGTGAGTCTGAAGTCAAGTCTCGAGTTTTTATTTGTGTTAATTAAATCCGACACGAGTCCGAGTCTCAGTCCAATCCAAGTCTCAAATCTTTTGACGTCGAGTTTGAAATCATTTCTCGAGTCTTTTTTGTGTGACTTACTTGAGAATTGATTTCGAGTCTTGGTCAAAGTCAAGTCTCAAGTCTCAGACTCGAGTGCCCATCTCTGGCACAGTATGAAAAATATATTTTTACAAAAATGTATATTTAATGTTTACACTACAGTTTTCCTGGTGAATGTGTGTGCACATGCTGCTCACTAATTCCTACACACACTGACTGTGAAGGACTCCCCACCAGACAGTGTAGCAGAGATTCTCAAAAACCTTTGTGGGTGGATCAATGTCACATTTATGGGTTCAACAGTTCAACTGAACCTAAAGTAGGTTTTACTCCTTTCTGGAGTTTCAGCTGAATTGTACTCTGTGGAGAATATAATGTGTTTCTGTGGGATTGCTTGAGAAGGTCTCTAAAAATCATATGAGCTAATATAGCCTGGTTTTTGAAAAAGCACAGGCTCTGCCATTAGCATAGAGACGCATATATAACATAGGCCACAGGGGGGGCTGTTATCGCGGACTTCATGCAGTGGCAGGTGAAGTGGTCCATGTAGACTGAAACTAAATTTAGAGAAACACAGGACAGGTATTACCCATACTGTATTTACTACTTTCTTGCACACACAGTAGCATCTCTGCACACAAAACACTTGATTTAAATGTATTTTCATGCATGCTAAGCTACAACATATTCTGCAGCATGCACATTGAAAGTAACTGATTTGAACAAGATATAATATAATATAATATTTGACAATATGACTTTTATATTTTTATCAATACCTCATTCTCTTGCAGGTGTCCTCTTTTAGGACAGGCAGAATCGGGGCAGCTAATTGCAGTTTCAAGGCCTTCTTTAATAAGGAGTTCCACATACTGCTTCAGGCACTGAGGGAAAAAAAACAGACAAAGAGACAATTACGCAGGGCCAGTTTAATATCGAACTAAATGAAAAAAAAAAAAAAACGGACCACAGCAGACAGTTAGCAGACAAACTAGAGCTGCACGAAATCAATAATTTTATTAACAATTGACTAAAGAGGGAACATGACAGAAAAACAACAATAATATTTCAGTTCCCAATACATTTACTTTTGTTTGTGATGATTTTTTAAAGCAGTATCATAAAGGTATGCCAACAGAGCTTTAATAAATCAGTACCAAACAACAGAGAGTGATTAGATAATTACAGAGAGAAGGAATTTGGCCGGTGGAATCAAAACAATAATTAGGAACTGTAAATATTATTTGTCTGCTTGGAAGAAACCGATTTTCAAATTTAGAGATAATCACTTTAATTTCACAGATATTATACAGGTGACATCGAAAATATGTTTAAACTCATAAGATTCAGATTTACCAGTAAAGTCAAATGAGGAAGAAGGGATTTGCTCAATGCTAGCACAGTGCTTACATGTCGCTAACAAGGTACATGCTAGCTCAGCACTACCATGCCGCTACATACGGCCCACTGCTAATATGCTGCATTTGTGATTTGTGTTACTCGATAAAACACCCATGCAAGCACATTGACAGCTAAGTTAGCATAGCATAATAGAAGTTGTGCATTGCTTATATAGGGTGGACTAAACACCCTAAATGTTTTCCTTATTTTAGTTTTTTCTTTGCAAATTTACAAAATTTTATTTGCACTAAATTTTTACCATATATATTACATTTTGATGATTAAAGTTTTAAAAACATACTGAGCTACAAGGTTAATGCTGAAAAACACTAAAACAAATGATAGTTGAACAAAACTGCCTACTCCCCTTTGAAGTGTGTCAGAGATAGCAGAGAGACCTCTGTGTGTTTACATTTTGGTTGACCTCTACAACAAACTCTGATAGCTGACCTTTGGCTACACCTACACAACGCTGCTCCTGTACGCCACCTCCTTATATAATACATAGTTTTAAAATAATATTTACTCATCGTCTCACTACACAATTAGATCAATATATGACAAACATAAACACAGAGATCATAACATAAATACGGAACAAAGCTATTTTTAAATACACACATTAAAACAATCTTCAATCAACTCGTTTCTCATGCAAACACTGAATCTATAACCAGATCGCCTCGTCTTTTTGCCGACAGCTGCAGGAGACTTATTGTCACTTGCACAGTGTCCACACTCACCAAGGTGCAGAAGACACATTGGCACTGAGTGATGGTGGTCATCTGCTCCAGCGGGAACTCTCCAAGACACAGCTTACACGACACCAGAGGGTCCATGGCCAGCTCCCAGGTGGGTCGGTACCGCGCAGTGGTCATCTTCACCGTCACAGAGCTACAGCGCACACAGCAGGAAAAAAGTAAACATTATTAAATCCAGAGTCCATGCCCAGCTTTATTTGTGGTGACACAGATTAAGAATGCATTCTGAGTTGTGTCCTCTGGACCTAGATGTGGAGTGACACCAGTTTAAAAGGTCAATGTCAGCGCCATTCCTTTTTTATTCTGAGACCAACATCAGGAAAATGACGTTCAAAGACTCAGACTCCTGTGGCCATCAGCTATTTCAACTCCCTGAAAACATTTTTTTCACTCTGAATGAAACACTTTTTTTTCTACCCCCTCCTCATCTCCCACAGACGTCACTGCATCTCTTTTGTGCAAGTCAGACTGGGTTATTTTCGGCTGCCTTGTCTCACTCTCTCACTGCCTTGGAAGCTCGTTGCAAAGTGCACCAACTCAGCTGTTTACAGGAAGTAGCTCTGCACAACAACAACATCAACACCATCAACTCTGCTGCTTAGCAACTGGCAGAAGAAGAATCTTGGGAGGATGGAGGGTGCGGGCCTGGAGAGGGGAGGCGAGGGAGAGGGAATCAAGCACCTGAGTGAAGAGGAGATGGGAGAAAGATTCTGGTTTCTTTTGACTGGTCACACACTGAAAACGACTGTGTACAGACTGTGTGGCTGCGTGACATAGTCCATCACTTCACACTTATTCTGTTGAAAAGAAAATGGAAAAATTCTTCACTGTTTACTCTTTATGACACAACATCTCTGAACAAACTTGTCATATTTGTCTCCCTAAACCATGACCAGTACTTTATTTGTATCCATGTGCTTAAGACAAACATTGTGTTGCCGTCTACGTCAGTCCTCCTTAAACTGCTGAATGAAGCAAAAAAGTGAGAGGAAAACAGATGAATCCCTCAGGAGACATCAATGAGGATGAATGAGAGCATTCTTAGCAGAGGTCCATTATTGGAGAAACACTGTATTGGAAATCTATAGGTGATTGAATACTGCAGATGCTCGGCTTCAGTGGAGTTTTGTCAACAAGACGTCCAAAAGACGTTAAGGATCTAAACACTGTCCACAATTATACATCTATTATTTGGTAATGCACCTGAACCATCCTAATCCTGTTCAATAAACATCAACCAATCAGGGAACTGAAACCTACAACACGCTTGAAAAAAAATTGCATGTTAGTGATCAACAATACCAGAATCTTTGATTCGATACGATACTGATTTAACAATGACTTCTTTGGAATTTGTTTTCCCGATATCGATACTTTGTGTGATTATTCTTAAACTAATAAAACACATGACAAATACTGCCCAATGAACAATCTAAAAATGTATTTTTACTAACATATTAATACAAAAGAAACGGTGCAACGTAAATAGTTTTGTTGGTACCATTGAGGGACAAAGACGTCTAGTGGACATCGTAGAGGTCACGTAAGATGAATTCTTCAGTTCAATTTTGGAAGTGACATATTCACTTTTTTCATTAAGTAATTTTTGAGACGAGTAATCCATACTCAATCAATACTCTGTGAATATCAATATTTTGATACTACAGAAACAATACTCCCATTGCTACTAGTGGTTCCCTTCTCCTTCTGCAGGGCCCCCCAATTTTGTAGACAGAACTATTGTTGGGTTATGCTCTCAGAAGGCGTCAGAACGAAAGCGTTATTTTCATTGAACAAATAAAGTGATAAATCCATGTGGTTTCTCACTGTGGCACAAGTTTAGAAAGATAAAATCTATGTGATTTGCTGTAACCCTCCCTGTAATAGCTCCACGGCCCCAACAGGGGCCTGCCCCCTTCTTTGGAAACCTCTGGTGTACGCCGATCTCACATACCGTCATGATGCATCACAGATGTTGGGTGTTAACAGCAGTCTGAAACACCCTTTTTTTTCATTTTCGTCACACATTGTCTTCCTGATATCCAATGTCTATTCTTAACAGAAAGGCGCTGACACTGTGCGAAGAATGAAAATCTGAGGCGAGAGAAGCTGAATTAGCACATCTCTCTTGGCCGTGAAGCTGATGATTTCAATTTACTTCCTATGTCTGCTCCACACAATCACATTTGTGGTTAAAGATGTTGAAAACGTACAACTACAAAGTAATTCACCCTGTGTCTGGTAAGACTTTCTTACTATGTGTACTTTTACTCACTGAATCAGTACTGCGATAAAACAGAGAGGGTCGATGAGGACAAATGAAGTGGTTTTTAAAGATGTCCTGAGGATGGGAGGGAGAAGCGGTGATAAAAGTCGCTGTTTTTAGTGCAACACAGGAAAAAAAAACTGCGTTCTCATGAGAAACGGTGGTGAAGTGTGACGGTTCTGCTGCATTATTAACTACATGGTCCATTATCAGTGAAAAACACATACTACTCTCAGATGCACGGTAACATTCAGGGCACGAGGTCGTGCACGTGAGGACGTCCTGCTTCATATGAAGTGATTTAAACTCTTGTCTGTTTCAGAGAACAATACTCTGGCTGAGAAGGTCCAGGAGCGAGAAAGACCAAATCAATTAACCAGGAGGTCGGGGGTCAGCATGTGTCAGTGTTGGTCTGAAGGGGACAAGTTTATAACACACACTCAGACAAGGTTACATAACATAGAAGTGAAAAGGATTTCTCTCAGCAGCACATTTGATACCCTCAATTAAACCTCGGAATATTTTGCAGCTATAAATACACAAATATTTACTGCGTTACATCAAATATTGAATAACTTTGATCACAAATATGCATATAACTTGCCCTTTGACCTTTAATCCAGAGTTCAAACACTGGGTCTAAAATGAGGGTTAAAGTTTGTGTTATAAATGTTATGAGAAGAGGTGGTCACGGTTTACTCCAGCAGGGGGCTCTCTTGATGATTAAAGCAAAGACTGTGCATAAGAGCAGTTTTAAAATTAAAAATTCAATTTGGCTGCAATTCCACAGCTGTCCAGTAGTTTCAGTTAGGACTGAAATCAACTGTACTTGTCACCCGTCTGCATACGTAGTGTGCAGACTCCAGAGGGAAGAGCGACAGTTACAGTGGTATACACAAAAAAGTAATAGTAGATATATATGTACGTATATATACCTAAAGTATGTTAAAGAGAAAACAGGTACATAATGTGACAGTGCATGCATTCAAAATAACAGAAATCCATTCAAAAATGACTATCATCACTCACACTATCATACTTGTTTGTTAGCCAACAAGCTAAATAATTAGCATAGTCTGTGTCTACCAATTCCACAACCAAATTAGGTTATGCTATTAGTAAGCTAGCTGTCTTCTTGATCAGACATTTTGCGTGTAATGACCCATTAAAACTGCAATGTTCTGTAGACAGTGAACATTCAACATGATCAAGACTGAAGAATATAATTACACAAAAACAAGACTTGTTAGAATAGGCATAATAATAGCAAAAAGGGAAGAAAAAACCCCCCGCACCATGACACATCATTAAGTTGTTTTGAAAGAGCAAACATGGTTAGTAACAAGTCCTAACATGGAGAAAAATAAGACCAGAGTGTCGTTGTTAGTGAAATATTTACATAGTAAATGTAAATATTTCACTCTAACTAAACCTCTAACTGTCGACCAGACTCCAACATGAAACAAGACCAGACGCAAACCCCTTCATACAGAGGAAGATATATAATGTTTTAATGTTCTTATTTTACTGTAGGGATCTGAACCGACTGCCTCTCAAACAGCTGATTTTCACATGTAGACGGGCTGAGTTTTTACAGTCGACGTCCTGGTGAATGGCACTGAGCAGTGCTAATAAATGACTTGTCAACACTAGCTTTCAACAAGTATTAATAGGGTGCTGGTTGTTGCCCAACAGTTGTGCGGCACTGTTTTTAGAGGCCAGCAACAGTCACTGTATTTTCTTTGTCAAGGTCACAAACAAAACAGAGATGAAACATGGTTTAGATATTCTGTATTCAGTCTTTTATAGCAGTATTTTCTAAAATAGAAATCCCTGAATTTTAAACAGCACTGTTTTATTAGCAAGACATCTGTACAATATTAATTGTATTTATTATATGTACCAAAGGGTGAACTAATGAAAAATATAGGTGGCTGCATAATGCATAATGCAAGATTCAATAAAATGGCTCTGCCTTCAAATGTGCTGCTCCCTGTAGAGTAGCAACAAAGTTTTATGCAGATTTTCACCTCAGCTAACTTCTGCTCAGTTTAGAGGTGAGAATGTTTTTTTTTTTTCTTTCTTTCTTTTTATGGTATAGCAGCAGGCAGCGCATAGCAACACCAATGCAGATGTTACATGAGCGGCTCCACAAGCCAAGAATGAATTCAGATTCATGTCATAAATACTTCAAATGTTGCAACGTTTCAACAACACAAAGTTAGAGTGAAAGGCCTTGTGGATTAAGTCAGGGTGTCGAAGGAACGTCCAACAAAGGCAAGACTGGTCACAGTTAATGAATTATTGCTTAATTTTGCCAGAGGGTGCCAAAAATGTGGAGCTGCAAATATTGATTTATATATATAAGATTTAGAACCAAGAAAATATTTCAAGAATGTATTGATTATGAAATTAACTTAAATAAATTACAGATTTGTTCATATTATATACATGGTAATAGCACCGACATGTTAATGTGGGTTAAGTCTGTAATACATTAAGTGTACACAGCAAAGGTCACAAAAGTTTGGACACGACCCAGACATGTTTTATGCGGCGAAGACCTGTAGCTGAAATATTAAGGCTTGTGAGATTTCACCAGAAGCCATTAACTTTTTAGCGGGCACAGCTTCTCTGGGTGTTACGGTAAAAGTGCTAGCTTCTTTTTTACATGATACAACTAGTGGGAGCTGTTTGTTCTGACTCACAAAGAGTTTCGAAAGTCATTGAAATAGACAGTAAAGAGAGGCGTTATTCAAAACCTGAAGCCAAAAACAATGGTTTTGTTTTCCAGAATGGATTGAAAAATGATGAAATTTTGTTGTTGATATTATGGTACTGGGCGGAGTTTTGCAGACTTGAGAACA